CGTACCCTTTTATGTAATGATGTTTACTTTGAATTTATATTAGTTCACACAAACACTCCATCCATGCTTTTGTTCCGGCCCTCCGGTCCAGTTTAAGAACCCACTGTGGTCCTCGAGTCAAAAAGTTTGCCCACCCTTGGATTAGAGGAAGGCAGGGAAAGGTTGGAAACATTTCCTTATACACCACTAAATGTTCTACATGTTACATGCTTTAATTTAGTTAAAAAACAAACAAACAAACAATACTTGCTGGACAAATCTATGTAAGCTCTACCAACATCTCAGACTCATCCCTAAAAACCCAGTCAGCATTATCCAAACACAATGTTCCTGCCCTCCCCCATTCCAGCTCTTTCTTCTGGTGACTTTTTGCTTGTTTTTATCATGGCACCACCACTGTCTAGCCTAAAAATGCCAGGCATATTTTACTTTTCCATATTACCTGCACCTGACCACATATTGTTTTTCCTAATGTATCAATTCTTTCATTTTTCTTGCCTTCCCTTCTATCCAAATTCAGGTCTCAAGACTGCCCTTTATACCTACACCATGGTTAGCTACCAACTGTCTCTTCTTACCCCAATGTATATGACATTCACATTGACTATATTCTCTGGTCTTCTAAGGATATCATCTCTCTCCTTGTAAATTATAAGCTGTTTGAGAGTAGAACCCATGTTTTATACATCTTTGAATTTACCAGAGGACCTAATATATTGTTTTGCATGTAATAATGTAGCAACCTAAATTTATAGAAATATCCAGATTTATCTCAGTTTATGACATCAAAAGTCCAAATCATGTAAAGGCCACTTTAAAAATACTTATTGACCACCTGCTATTTGCCAGGTAGCATATAAATTGATGGAGATATAGTGGTGAACAACAATAACAACACAACACGAGCTCTTCTCATAGTCCAGAGAGGGAGACAGAATGAAAAGGTAAATCCATATATGGTTATAAATTAAGAGCTCTAAAGACACTGAGAAGGATTGTCTGCCAGAGAATAATAGGATGATCTATTTTAACTGGATGAGCAGGAATACCCTCTGTAAGGAGGAGACCTTTAAGTTGAGACTAAAGAAAGAGAAGAATCATGAAAATTCACAGGTTGTGTATTCCAGCAGAAAGAACAATTCAAGCAAAGACCCCATGGGTGGAAAAAAAACCCAACAACAAACAGTGCACCTAGGGAAATTAAGGAAGGTCGACGTGGCTAAAGCAAAGTGATCCTGAAGGACATAGCCAATGGAGAACTGGCAAGGTAGTCAGAGACCAGGTCATAGAGTCCTTGTAGACCACCTTAAGTCTGTCCTGGAAGAGCAATGGGAAACACTACTTACAGGACTGAAGCAAGCGAGTGGCATGTGCGCTTTGATTTGGAATTGTAAAAGGTCACTTCACCATGCATGTAGAAAATGGATGGTGTAAAGGAGTAAATAGGGAAGCCAGGTCGCGGATTACTGAACAGGCCAGATGAGATTATTGCGGTTTGGAAGGGGGTTGGAGCAGGGCAGAAGAAGATAAACTGATGGACTTGAGGTATATTCCAAAGGCAAATTGTTATAACAATGATGAGTGGATTGTATGTAGGGAATAGAGAGGGAGGAGTCATGAATTACTTTGCAAATTTCTGGACCAAACAACTAACTGGGCAGATGGATTGTGTTTTTCTCAAAAGAAAGACATTGGATGGAGGACTGGTTTAGATGTGGGATGAGAGAATCAGAACTCAGTTTTTCAGATATGCTATGTGCACAATGCCTGCTAGATTGTGCACATAACATCCAGGTAGAGATGTCAGGAAGGCAGTAAAACATATGACCCTGGAGCTCAGAAGAGGGGGCCAGGCTGTAGACATGGACTGGGGACTCATGTGGTAGTTAATGGCATTATTTAGCTGGTATTTAAAGATATAAAGGTGTGAGCTCCTACAGAGAGAGATATGGAAAGAGAAGGAAAGAGGACCCGGACAGAGCCCTGGGACTCTCAAACACTATGGTGAAGGGGAAGAGGCCTGCAAAGAGACTCAGAATGGCTAGAGACAAAGGCAGTGTGGGGACTAAAATAATACTGTCACAAAAAGAGAGGCTTTCAAGAAGGAGAAATGTTCACTCTTGATAACAACTGAGGAGTTGGGTGAGCCCATATTAGGATCCTCTCTACTGGGAGGACGTCTTATCAAGGATAGAGAGCCTTTTATTGTTGAGTCCCTAAAGTAGGTCCTGGCACACAGTGGGCACTTGATACATATTCACCAAATGACACATATTAATTGAATCATTGATGTTCAGTTGAGGGTTACAGATAGGCAGAGGTAGTTTTTAAAAGTCTTCCTTTTCTCCCCCCTCCACGTACCCTTTTCCTCTCAGATTCTCACACTTGCCTACAAAAGCATTGGTTAAAGAGAGAGCAGTATTTAGAGGCTTTGTCAAAGCTACACGAAACACCCTTTATTTCTGCTGACTTCAGAAAAGTGAACTGTTCTCTAGGCCTTGGAGGAATGAAACTTGGGCTAACATAGTGTGTGAAGCAGTAAAGGGTGGTTGGTTCTTGAAAAGTGGTGAAATCATAACTATAACCACAATCATAGAAGTAAGATCCTGCCCCATGAATGCTCTATTGGCTGCTACTCACCTTAATTATGATATGAAAAGAATTGTGTTGAGTGGATTTTGTCACATAAAAAGGGAGAGAAGTAAAAGGATCTGTGGCTCTGACATTGCCCAAGTCTGGAGAGTCTGGAAGGTCCTGTGAGACAACTACTTCCTGGGCCCCAAATGGACATGTGGCTGCAAAACAAGAGGGATTGCTTACTTATAGCGACGGCAGTGTGAGCTAGTTGCAGGGCTGGGTTGAAATCAGCATGTGGATCTACTCAGAAAGAAGGAACCTTGGAGTGGAAAACAGAGCAAGAGGACCATTCTCCATGGGCCCTGTGAGCTACTTTTCTAGAAGCCATTTCGTTTCATTTTGCACCATTGTTTGCCTTTTACTTCGTTGCAAATAATAAGAGAGGATCACTATTGCTCTTCTATCTGTTGACAAAAGCATAGAAAATGATTGGGTCTGGCTAGAATATCCTACTATTCCACAAATATCTCCAACTCCAAATCTAATACTGAAACTGCTCGTGTGTGTGCCCATTCCTGTGCATACACACATGCACAACCTTGTTTCTCCGTGTGTTTTTTTCTCTCTGAATTAGCATCATATGCTCAAATCCCAAACTCAGGACTGGGCCATCATCCTGACTCCTTCATCTCAGCTCCATCTTTGTATTTGCCAACACTGTCACCAAGTTCCATTGGGTTCTGTCTCTCATATCTCTTGAGTCTATTATGTCCTCTGTTCCACGTTTGCTACTTCCTGGTGCAGGCCATCCATCTCCCTACTCATTATTCACTCCAGGGGCCTCCACAATTAGGTTTCCTGTATCCAGCCTTGGCTTCACATTTCTGAAACACACGGCTGACCAAGACAGGCCTTTCAGCAGCTTCCTAACCTGGCTTAGGGGGTTCATGATGTGTCCCTGTTTCTCTAGTCAGCCGCAGACCATACCAACCTGCGCGTGGACAGCTGAATGTGCCACCGAGGCCACCTCTTCCAGTTTCTCTACCTGGCCCTGCGGGAGCCCACCCTTCTTCCTCCTCTCTAACTGCCTAGGCTAACTCGACCCTCCTTGTCCTCCTTGTCCTCCCAATCTCTCTTTAAGTGTCCTTAAGCATTCACAATTTTCTCTACTAAGTAAAAGTTTGTCCATCTGCCACTTGACGAAAAATTTTCCTGAAGGCTTATCCTGCCTTGCTCACCGTGGTGTTGTAGGTCTTGCAACTTGCTGGCTCAGTGAATGTGCTGATTAAGTGAACAGGTACTTTGGTGACGTATCTGCCATGACAATTTAAGATGTGATATTTCAGTGTGCATGGTTTTAGTGCGCACCCGCGCGCCCGCACACACGCGCGCTCACACTCGCACACCTTAAGAAGCCCTTTTTCTTTTTTCGTGTTTTTTTTTTCTCACATAGCAGTAACTAATAACTGGACCTGTATCTCCAAATATCAGCCAAATCACCTATGGCTGTCTCTCTGGTTGCTGGAGAAAGAAACCTGTGGCACATCTGGATCGCATTAGAAGGAGAGTCTAACGGTTAGACTCTAAGTCTAGCCCCTTCGGATGTGCTGTGCCCTGGTCCCCAGCGCATCTTCAGAGGCTTGTGCTGTCTGGGCCTTGACCGCACCCTGGCTCTCTGGTGGTGAGTGGATGCGTGGAAGGGGGGAGCACAAGAACGGGGTTTCTTGGTTAAAGTGAGGCCAGCCACAGTGCTTTCTCTGCCCTGCCCCGCTGTTGAACTCTTGGCAGCCCTGACCTCCGGCCATTCAGCCCGAGAGCTGGCTGCTCATCTTTGTCCTCCCCGGGGCAGCCAGGGCTGCCTTAGAGGAAGTGCGGGGGGAGGGGGGGAGGTTAAGTCCTGGGCACAGACGCTCGCAGGGCTCTGAGTCCTGAAGTGAGTAACCCTAACGTTTCTGTGACCAAAGTACCCCCTGCGCCTTCAGGAGTTCCTTGGCTTGCCTTCCATTGAGGCCCTCTGGTTACACCTACGCTGCAGAACGCGGATAGAGCGCCCGATTATCAGCGCAAGATCTAGACGGTTCCCCGCCGCAGCCGGCGCCCAGGTTTGTGGCTGTCCCCGGGCCACCCCGGGGCGGGCCGC